CTCTCTCTCTCTGCTTCTGCCTCTCTGTAACTCTGCCTTTCAAGTAAATGATAAAAATAAATAAAATAATAAAAATGAAGTTTAAATAAAAGAAAGGTATCTAATACATGTTTGTGAGAATCATGATTTCACCTTTTTGTAATGAAATTATCCTTGAATATGCAAGTGCAGAGACACTTGTGGTAGTAAAAAAAAAAAAAAGAAAAAAGAAATTAACTGTGACCCTGAGAATCTCATGTATTACAAAAATTCCTCAAAAAATTAAACAATACCAAGCCAACTCTGAATCTTGAAAAATAGAGGAATGGCTGCAAGTTTCCATTAAAACAGTAGAATAGATTCTATTCTATTAAGGATTCTCTTAAACCAATGGAATCTATGTGGTACACTTAAAATTCCATAGGCTGTGTTTTTTTTTTTAAGATGTATTTATTTATTTATTTATTTTTTGAAAGGCAGAGCTACAGAGAGACAGAGGCAGAGACAGGGAGAGAGAGAGAGAGAGAGAGAGAGAGAGGTCTTCCATCTGCTGGTTCATTCCCCAAATGGCCGCAATGGCAGGAGCTGTGCAGATCCGAAGCCAGGAGCCAGGAGCTTCTTCCAGGTCTTGCACATGAGTGCAGAGGCCCAAGAAATCCGGCCACCTTCCACTGGTTTCCCAAGCCATAGCAGAGAGCTGGATCGGAAGTGGAGCAGCTGGGACTCAAACTGGCGCCCATATGGGATGCTGGCACTGCAGACTGCAGCTTTACCCACTATGCCACAGCGTCAACCCCTTTTTATCTATATGAAAGGCACAGAGAGAAAGACAGATAGAGACAGAAAAACAGATCCTCCATGCACTGGTTTGGTCCCCAAATGTCCTCAACAGCTCACGCTAGACCAGGCCAAAGCCAGGAACCGAGATCCCAGTCTGGGTCTCCTATAAGGGTGGCAGGGACCCACATACTTGACTCATCATCTACTGCCTCCCAGGGTGAGCGTTAGCAGAAAGCAGGACTCTGCTGTGGGATGTGACTGTCTCTAGTGGTTTCTTAACCACCATGCCCCGCCCCTTTATTTTTGAAAAGCAAACATTTTTTGAAAGTGCTCTCACACATACACAATATAAAAGTCAGTGTGCAGGCATTTTAGAATTTTAAAATAAACTTTTATTCAAAACCTTTATCCAATGACATGTTTCATTGGCTGTTCTTCCTGAAAATGCTTCCTTCTTAAAGAGAGGATTTTGTGATATAAATTTTTGTAGTTGACTCATCACAAAGTATGTCCCTGACTTACATTTTATGGAACTCCTATTTAGATTTTTTTTTAAAGGGCAAGGACTTCCCTTCTAGACAAGAACATTTTTAGACAAGATACCCTTGTGTTTGGGTCAGACTCATTTCAAAGATATCAATAATCTTACATTTTCACCTAATAAAATGTGACGATACTGGCTGTAGAACAGAGAGACTATTCATGAAAAAGAATTAGGAGTCAGCAACTGACCCAGAAACATGGCAGATCTTAGTATATGAAAAAGCACAACTTTACAAATTAATGGGGCCAAGTTAGACTGTTACATACATGATACTGGAACACCTCGTTCGCTGAGAGGCAATGACAAAATTCATTTTATGAAATGAAATGAAGATAGTTCAAGGCATAACATTTGGATGTAAATAATGAAGAAAGCATGGATGAAGCCAGGGAAGATCTGTCACCTGGGCATCCTTCCCTGACCCACAAAACACAGAAAATCAGTGGAGTCACTCATTTTTTAGTGCTGCCATTTCTATACAACTGGGACCATTCTGGATGATTACAAAGGCAGACAACTCATTACATACAATAGGTGCCTAACAAAGTAGGGCTTAATTCCCTCAGGAAACCCTCAATGAGGATGGCTTGAAAAATAACTGTGAAAAATATAGTCACGGGTATTCATGTCCCTGATACACAAAGCTCTCAAGACCAAGAAAAGATGACTATATCAATAAACAAATAACTCAGAGACAATGCTAAAAAGAAAAAAAAATGTAAATTGTCAATAACCATGAAACTCTTCTCTCTCTCTCTCACTAGCAATTAATGAAATTTAAAGACAAGCAACAAGGAGTCATTGCTCTCAGCAAATCGTCTGCAATAGTCAAGGTCAACAAGATGTGCTGAAATCAGCATTCAGGAACTTTCCATGAAATGCGGATGAGTAGAGTGGACCGTGGTATCCACAGGGGATTCGTTCCAGGCCCCCCTCCCCAGATACTCAAATCCACGGATGCTCAACTCCATATAAAGTAGTACGGTGTTTGCGTATCACCCACACAATCCTCTCTTGTACTTCACATCATCTCTAGGTTACTTCTAACACCCAGTACAATGGGAATAATATGTAAGCAGTTGATAAACCCTATTGCTTAGAGAATAATAACACAAAATGACTGTACATATTTATTACACGCAGAATTTTTCTTCCAGTATTTTTGATCTGTAGTTGGGTTGAATCTGTAGATATGGATTGCCCAGACATGCCATCTGTTTTTTTTTAAAGATTTATTTAATTAATTTATTTATTTGAAAGGCAGAGCTACAGAGAGAGAAAGAGAGAGAGAGAGCTTCCATCTGCTAGTTCACTTTCCAAATGTCTGCAATGGCCAGGGCTGGACCAGACCAGAGCCAGGAGCTTCTTCCAGGTCTCCTGTGGGGAGCAACTCGGACTAGACTAAGTTACTGGAATTAAGACTTATTCTATGCATCTGCTCTCCCACAATATGGCGCTGAGAAGGGAGAAACAGCTTCTACACAGCTGCCTCCAGTTCAACCAATAAACTGTAGGACTTACTCCTGATTGGAGGAGAGCAGCGTACTCGGCGTGTGGGTAGCAGAGTTGGGATTGGCAGAAGAGGACTATAAAGGAGGAGAGAGACAACATGCACCAGGAACATCTATGAGGAACACCTGAGCAGCCCCCGAGAGAGCCGGCCGGCGGTGTGCCGCTCCCCCGCGGAAGTGGGGAAAGTGGCAGGGGGAACCGCCCCTCCACGGAGGTGGAAGGGTCAGTAGCCAACCCGGGAAGAACCAGCAGCAAACCCGGGGAGGCCGAGCAGACGAAAGAACAGCGCAGGGTCCTGTGTCGTTCCTCCGTGAAGAGGGGGAGCGACATAATGGTGCCGTGACTCGGATATGAAGCCTAGGCAGGGTTTAGTGTCGTTCCTCCATGAAGACGGGGAGCGACATAATGGTGCCGTGACTCGGATAGGAAACCTAGGAGGGAAGAAGTGGAAAATACCGGAGAGAGAGACTAGCAAAGAGCCTAGGGGAAAGCTGGACGGAAAAGGTGCCGGAAGAAGCTATTGAAAGCCTAGGCATAGACTCGGATATGGACTGTGGGAAAGAAGTTAGGATTGAAAGCGAAAGTGAAAGCTTTCATAGACTCGGATGCGGACTATGGCGGGGAAGCTAGGAGATTGAAAGCGAAAGTGAAACCTGGAGGAGGCTTGGACTCGGATACGGACTGTGGGGAGAAGCCAGGAGAAATGAGAGGAATATTGTTGGAAGAAAACTTAGGGAAACATACCGGGTAGAGAAAAATGTTAGGGAGGATGAAGCCGCGAGTGCAGGCCGAGGCGGAGACGTAAGCCACCTTGGAATTCTTCAAGTCAGCCCGGGGAGCAAAAGGCGAAAATCTGGAACCAGAGGCAGAGACGTGGGCCGCCAGGTTGGAATTCGCCAGGTTAGTCCGGGGAACTTGGATTGAATGCTAGTGGCGGAGACGTAAGCTACGCTGTGTGACTCACGGAAGCCGCCGCGTGCAGAGAGCATGGGGCGTGAATAGATAGGGAACGTGGGGCTGGCGTGAGGCCGTGGTGCGGGCGCAAAGGGCGTGGAGACCGCAGAGCGCGAAGCCGAGCCGCGCAGAGCTGGGAGCCCGCCGCAGGGCGGGTGCCGGGAAGCCGCGCAGATGAGAGAAACAGAAGTTTAGAAGTAAAATGAGAGAAATAGGAATGCTGGTAGATAGAAGTAAAATAGGAGAAATAGGAATGCCCGGAGATAGAGAAACAGAAAAATAAGGCCTCCCCACAACACGGCAATAAGAGAGCTTGGATTCGGTCTGCCTGATTAGGGAGGTGGTGAGCACCTGCGGGCGGCTAGCAGCTTATGCGCCGCAGGTCACCGAAGACAGGCACGAATTAACATCAATAAGTCTCCCCATAAGACGGCAATGAGAGGGCTTGGATTCGGTTTGCCTGATAGGGTTTGTAAGCACCTGCAAGCAGTTCTAGCAGAGTAGAGCATGTGCTGCAGGGCACCGAACACAGGCACGCATCAGTGCCTAAAAACCTCCTCACAACATGGCGAAGAGAGGACCCGGATTCGGTTTGCCTGATTGATAGGACTTGTAAGCACCTGTGGGCAACTCTAGCAAGCAGAGCAGAGTGTGTGCCGCGGGGCACCGAAGACAGGCGCATATCAACGCCAAAAAATAAAAAGAAAGGGGGATCTGTGGGGAGCAACTCGGACTAGACTAAGTTACTGGAATTAAGACTTATTCTATGCATCTGCTCTCCCACAATATGGCGCTGAGAAGGGAGAAACAGCTTCTACACAGCTGCCTCCAGTTCAACCAATAAACTGTAGGACTTACTCCTGATTGGAGGAGAGCAGCGTACTCGGCGTGTGGGTAGCAGAGTTGGGATTGGCAGAAGAGGACTATAAAGGAGGAGAGAGACAACATGCACCAGGAACATCTATGAGGAACACCTGAGCAGCCCCCGAGAGAGCCGGCCGGCGGTGTGCCGCTCCCCCGCGGAAGTGGGGAAAGTGGCAGGGGGAACCGCCCCTCCACGGAGGTGGAAGGGTCAGTAGCCAACCCGGGAAGAACCAGCAGCAAACCCGGGGAGGCCGAGCAGACGAAAGAACAGCGCAGGGTCCTGTGTCGTTCCTCCGTGAAGAGGGGGAGCGACATAATGGTGCCGTGACTCGGATATGAAGCCTAGGCAGGGTTTAGTGTCGTTCCTCCATGAAGACGGGGAGCGACAGTCTCCCACATGGATGCAGGGGTCCAAGGACTCAGGCTGTCTTTTTTTAAAATATTAATTTATTTATTTGAAAATCAGAGTTACACAGAGCGAGAAGGAAAGGCAGAGAGAGAGAGAGAGAGGTCTTCCATCAGCTGGTTCATTCCCCAATTGGCCGCAACAGCTGGAGCTTTGCTGATCTGAAGCCAGGAGCATCCTCCCGGTCTTCCCATGCGGGTACAGGGACCCAAGGACTTGGGCCATCTTCTACTGCCTTCCCAGCCCATAGCAGAGAGTTGGACAGGAAGTGGAGCAGCTGGGTCACGAACCAGCGCCCATATGGGATTCCAGCACCACAGGCAACGGTGTTACCCACTATGCCACAGCTCTGGCCCTGGGCTATCTTTCCACTGTTTTCCCAGGTGCTTTAGCACAAAACTGATTTGGAAGTGGAGCAGGCCAGACTCAAGCTGGAGTCGTTGGCATTGCAAGCAGTGGCTTGACTCACTATGCCACCCACAGTGTCAGCCCTGTTTGTGTAATCTTTCTGGAAGGCCATGTGGCTCAAGAAGAGAAACAGACAGAAGAACAAATGTGTACTACAGGCATGTTTACTCTAGTCTTTTTTATAAGTCATGTTAAATAACACAAGTATCCATCACCAGAAGGCTGTTTACTTAGTTCCTCTATGGATTTACCAAAAAGGATAACTGGTCTACCTATAAAAAGTGAATTATGAATTAAATGAGTACATTATAAACAATCGAGTATAAAAGGGCAGCACCAGCTGGGCTATGCCATGTTTCCTTGGGGAGGACTCAGACTAATGTGCTTCTTGGCAGCCCCTGTCCTGGCAATGACCTCTTATGAACCTTAGTTAACTCCTGCAAAACTTGGCCCTAATCGAATGGCTTCTTCATTAGCAATCATACGTGATTAAAAGGGCAGCGTGCTTAAAAGTCAGGTTGAGGCCAATGTTGATGGCTCCTACAGGCCAAGCTGAGCAGATTATTTTAAGGAGTTTTTTAAAAATTTTACTTACTTATGTTAATTTTATTTGAGAGGCAGAGACACAGGGACAGTGAGACAGAGAGAGATCCCCTATCCACTGTCTCATTCTCCAAATATTGACAACAGCTGGTGCTTGGCCAGACTGAAGCCAGTAACCCAGAACTCAATCCGGATCTCCCACATGGGTGGCAAGGGCTCAAGTACTTGAACCATCACCATCCGCCTTTCAGGATGAGAGGCCAGAATCAGGAGCAGAGGTGGGACTCAAACCCAGGCACTTTGATATGGGATGCAGTCACCCCAAGCAGCATTGTTACTGCTACACTCTACACCCACCCACCCCCCATACCCTGTGGATTTTTTATAAAACTGGCAAGCCACCCATTGATGTTCAAATTTGCAGAGGCCTGATGGAAGTGGGAAAGACTGGAGCTAAGGGAACCATGAGGCCAGGAAAAGCAAAGTGCCTGCTGGACAGCAAAGGAAAGGAAAAGACTCAAGATCTGTTTCTAGGACGGAACGGATCCAAGTTAATGAGTGATTGTGGTAGTGGCATGTGTCGGGGCGGGAGTATATGGAGGGTACTTCAAAACGGTCATGGAAAATGGCATTAAAACATGTTTGTTTTGGTTCAAAAAAATCTACAAACCCTGAAACCCATGCATTTTTTTCATAATACACATTTTCATGATCTTTTCATGATCTTTTTGAAGATTCCTCATATATACATGATTTCAAAAAATTTTGCAACAAAATAAACATATCTTTTAACTCCATTGTCCATGAATTTTTGAGGTGCCCTCATGTGGGTTGCCTTTAAATCAAAAGCCTTGTTGAAACCTACCAAGCAGAGCTGGAATGGGATCTTCAGTCCACATCTCAACGAAGGCAAGCCCTTGCGTTCAGTCTCCCGTCATCCCCTAGCAGTGGCAACCATCAGCTCATTAACACCACCCTTCCGCCAGCCACCTCCTTATCTTCCGGCAGCTCACTGTCCTTAGGAGCTCCCATGTGTAAATGTTCAGTCACTGAGCTGCCCCTCACCGTGCTCCTCTTTCTCCCTGGGAAGAGAAAGAGGCCACCCGCCGTTCTCTGTGTTTCACAAAGGCCACAGGCTGGGGTACTCGGTAGTCCTTAGTTCCAGGGCTTGGGTGCGTCAAGGCTGAGAGGGAGCATGGGTGGGGGTGGGGGACAGGGCAGATGGCCTGCAGGGGGGGGATGCAAAGTGGAACACCAGTCCTCAGACTGGTGCGGAAGAGCAAAAGAGCCCCCTGTGGGGGGCTGGGGGGGAAGGGTGTGGTTGTAGGGGTGAGGAAAGCAGGTCACGGGTGGAGGTGGTGTGGTATAAGGGTAGGGATACGCAGAGGACTCGGGCAGGAAGCCTGAAAAGGTGGCAGGAGACAGGTGGGCCAGTGGCTGCAGCAGTGAGCGCTCTTGCTTCCGCTGCTTAGCTCTGCGGTTCTGGAACCAGACCTGAGGAGGGGGAGGACAGCTACATCAGAGTCCTGTCCCAAGGACATGACACTCCGAGCCTTTCCTCCGACAACAGGAGGTGCTAGGACAGTCAGCTTCTCCCGCAGCTCCAAGAGGAAGCAAAGCTCTTGTAGAGGGTGTGGCTGAGCCAGGTCCACCGGCAAAGCCAAACACAGACCCTTGTCCCCCAACCTGTGTCTGGATTCTCCCGATTTCTACAACCTTGGGTGAGTTAGGACTGTTAACTTCCAACAAGAAAGGGATCACAAATGTGCCACGAGGACAATTTCTCCCCTTTCCCAGATAATAGGAATCTTCCCCTATGCTTTAGATCCAGGGTAGCGTTTATGCTTAAGGTGAATTAACTCTGGTTAGGATTGAATGGGGCATTGGGCTGGCGGAGTTGCAAGGATTGCTTTTCTGTTTAATTCCTGTCCCAATTAATGGTGGTAGGCACTGAAATTCAAGTTAGGTTAGAGTGAGGGTTAAACTCAAGTGAGATTCACGGTTGTACGCCCTGTTGGGTGAGGCTTCTGTTCTGCTGAATGTGTAAGTCAGGGATGTAATGCCTTGAGACAGTGCCCCCAGGCAGCCCCCAGCCTGCATTCCTTCCCCCAGGGGAGCAGGATCCCACGGCATCACCTGGATTCTGGCCTCACTGAGGCCTGTGTCCCGGGCGAGACTCTCTCGGGCCCAGATGTCAGGGTACTGGTTCCTCCCGAAGGCTGACTCCAGCTGTGCCAGCTGGGCTGGGTTGAAGGTGGTGCGGTGGCGGCGCCGGGAATGCGGGCGAGCCCTCTGTCCTTGCGGGGAGGGCCTGGGTCTCCCCACTCCTACACCAGACAGCCTCCTGCAGGGCTGCGGGCTCAGGTCTGAAAGAAGAGAGGGAACTGTGGCTTCCCAGTGGACAGCTCGTTCCTGCTGGCCATTGGTGCTGGTCCCTGGGGTCTGCTCAGTGCCCCCTACCAGACCCGCCTTAGCTCTCCTGCCACTGTCCCTGCAACCAGCTCAGCCTCTGTCTCTGCCTCCCCTCAGAGTCCCCAAACCTGGCTGTGCTCTCCACACAGGGTCGGCTCTAAGACCCCCGCCCACGGTGCACACCATAAAGAAGCACAGCCTGCCTTGCTGGCTCCCTCCCTGCTCCACGGATCACCTGCAACTCACGCCTCTGATGCTCTCACCAGGGAAGCTGGGGCATCCCCCTCCTTCACTGCTCACAAACACCCCCACACCCCCAACCCCAGGACTGTTGTCGCCTCCCCTGCCCCTGCCCTGGCCCAGCCACCAGACTGCCGGAACCTGAGCCCGTGGGAAAGCCCTGCCACTGCTCCTCCCTACAGGCTCACTAAGCCCCATACTAATTAGTCTGAGAGCAGCTGGGGAAGAACACCAGGGGACAGGGAGCAATTGGAAGGCAGGCTCAGAGAGCCTGGGGCGGAGGCACCCATTGCTGTGGGGAGCAGAGCTGAGGCCCCATGGAGCTCACTGCCTCCCTCCGAGAAGCGGCACCCTGGGGCAGGTTTCAGCTCTGCCTCTGCACCCGCCCCAGTGTCCACTGTGTCCTCACCCCGGCCCCAGCCTCGGTCAAGCCAAGGTGTCACACTTCCCCGGGTAGGCAGCCCGAGGTCCCACAGTCCTCTAACGCCGCCATTCTGCTTTGAGTTTCCCTCTCAATCTTGCTCACTGAACCACTGCCCCGCAGGAGCCTGGGCACCGAGCCGCATGCCAGTACCTCCTCGCTAACTCCTCGCGAGGACCAAGGCCAGCCCCGGACCCACTTACCGGCCACGGCGGAGATGAGGGTCCCTGCCGCTGGGCCGCTCTGCGGCAACACACTGCTGCAAGGACGCCCCTTCCTGAGCTTGGCCGGCTGGCTCCTGCCTGGGGCTTCTTCCATGCCAGCCCCCTGCGACCCTTGATCTAGATTCTTGGTCAGGCTTTCGCTGTTACCCTGTTCTCCTCTTAGGCTGCGATCTCTCCCCAGGTCTCTGTCTCTGGTTCTCTCAGTTTCTCTGTCTCTGTAGCTCTAGTGGGAATCTGTCTCTGTCACTGTCTCTCCTGGACTCTAATTTTTTCCTAACTCCTCATTCCTTCACTGGAGGTTGTTCTTGTCCTCTGCCTTGACGTCACCTATCTCTCTCTTTGTGTCTCCACTGCTCTCCCTGTACCTTCTCTCCACCAGGACACGGCTCCCCCTTTCCGGTCGGCTGCCTGCCTTCCCACACCTCTCCTTTCTCCCTGTGTCTTGGAGAATGACCCCCTCCTGGCCCCTGAACCCATCCAATCGCTGCCTGGACACCGACACCGAGGCCCCTTGCTCAGGGGCGGATCACAAGCCGGATGAGGGAAGGTGTTCTGTCGAGGGTCCAGGGCTGGGGGCCAAGGGCTCCTGTTCCCAGGGGACCAGATTCTTTTGTCTTGTTAAATCCCCTCCTGGGAGCAGGCAGGGCCAGGAGGGGAAAACGCATTCCTCCCAAGAGCCCTGCTCAGAACCCCACGGTGGGAAGGGTAGGAGGGGGGCAGGTAGGGGCCAGGACAGCGCCTGCCTTGGCATCTCAGCAGGTACTTGATACCCAAGGGACCTGTTTCCAGGAAATTAAAAAGTGAAAAGTCACAAGTGCATGCCGGCCCCCCTCCAGGACACCCTGATATTGCAGAGCTCACCAGCCACGCCCCCTCAGGACAACCTGAAACCAACGGGCAGGATGAGTCTCCTCAGCACCGTCTGATTGCCACTCCTGGATTCAGCACCCCCAAGACACTGTGGCCTTCCAGGGACCCCTAATGTCCGGAAAACCTGACCCTTAAAAGCATCTGAGTTCCGGGTGCATCCTCCCCACCCCCACGGCAGATTCAGGATTCCTGCACTCAGGTACTTCAAGGAAACTCTGCCACACTCAGAATCCCTGAGCAGTGAAGAGAACCTGGCCGCTACAGCACTCTGTGTCTAGAGGTCCCTCAGTCCTGGCACCACCTAGGACACCTGGTCCTTTGAGGACTACCTGATACCCCAGGACCACTGACACTTTAGAACACACTGATCCCCAGAACATTCTACCCCTACCCCCGCCTCCATCAAGGTCAGACCTCTCAGGACACACTGACCCCTCAGGACAATCTGATCTCCAAGATCATACTAATCCTGCCTGCACATATACCCTTTAAAAGCACCTGCTGGGGCCAGCGTTTGGCCTGGTAGATAAAGCCACCCCCTGCAAATCCAGCATCTTATATGGGCACTGCTTTGAGTCCTGGCTGCTCTACTTCCAATTCAGCTCCCAGCTGATGTGCCTGAGAAAGTGGAGGATGGCCCAAGTGCTTGGGCCCCTGCACTCTGTGGGAAACCCAGAAAGAGCCGCTGGCTCATGGCTTCAGACCAACCTAGCTCCAGCCACTGTGACCACTGCGGGGTTGAACCAGGGATGGAAGCTCTATCTCTTCCTCTCTCTGTAATTCAGCCTTTCAAACAAATAAATAAATCTTTAAAAAAAAAAAAAAAAAAAAGCACCTGCCAATTCAAGACAGGGAGCTTGATTCTTACCATAAGGGTCATGGAGCAGCAGCAGCACCCAGTGGGAGCTCCTTAGCAATGAGAGTCTCAGGCCCCAGCTCCACCCTGTGTGGTAGGATCTGCACTGTAACAAGATCCCCAGGAGGAGAACCCTGTGCACCTGTCTGTGTTGAGGCCGCCATGATGAAGCACCGCAGACTGGTGAGAGAGCCAGCTCTGGTGCCCTTGCTCTTCTTATAAGGACACTGATCTCACCACAGGAGCCTTACCTTCATGACCATTGGAACCTGATTAACTTCCAAAGGCCCCCACTGCCAAATATTATCACAACAGGGACAAGGACTTCAATGTAAGGATTTGGGGTAGGGGACACAAGCAGTCCAGAGCTGAGAAGTACTGCCCCCAGCCCTAACTCTTCTCTCTATCCCTGGGTATGCTGTGCCCTCCCCAGGCACCTTGGACTCCATGGCAGCCCGGACCAAGCAAGACCGTCAACTTGGACCACAGGTGAATCCTGAGTCTTTGTACATCCTGTTGCTTTGGGATACCCTAACCCTGCAAGAGAACTCAGACCATCCATCCAGGACAGCCACCCCCTTTTATTACAAAAGGACTCCGACCCACCACCTTTGTCCCCAAAGACTGAGACACTACAAGTCTCACTTGATGTCTCAGAGTTCCACAGGCTCTCAGGAGACTGGGGCTTTCAGAAGCCTCTGATCTTCCCACTCCCCAACCCTGACCTTCAAGTAGACCTGGTACCCAGCACTGTCTCACCCTACGAGAGACAGGGTAGTGTAGTGGGCAGTCATGGGTTCAAGTCATGGCTATACCACTTACTGATTATGAGAGGTGGGGCTCATTGCTCAATATCACTCTGTCCTGTCTTTGTCATCTGGCAATCATAATTCGGATCCTCATTCCACATCAGAGTACCTGGATTCAAGTCCCGGCTTGGCGCACCTGATTCCAGCCTCTTGCTAATGCAGACCCTGGGAGGCACTGCTGATGTCTCAAGTACTTCGGTCCCTGTCACCCACTCACTGGGGAGACCTGGACTATGTTCCTGATGCCCAGCTTCAGACCATCTCAATCCTGGCCACTGGAGGCATTTGCAGACTCAATCAGTGGATGAGAGCTCTCTCTCTCTCACTCCCCCCACACACTACGTGTGTGTGTGTGTACACTTCTCTAACAAATAAATACATAAATATTTTTAAAAACATATTTAATTGCCTTTATTTAGTTAATTGTATTTATTTAAGGTAAAGACAATTAACAAAGACTGGATTTAAGGTGCCTTATTTAAGGTATCACCACAAAAACTGGATTCATGAATACTGAGCTATTGCTGCTAGGGAAAGTAGCGTCTGGTGGGGACATTTTTGTCTTCCCATTGATACATAACCTTGCATTGAGTATATTTCTGGATGTACCAGATTCTATTTGAAGCAACAATATTGAACATACCTACATATCACTGATGGATTAAACCTGAATTCAGGACCAATAGCATTGGAACTCATGTCTAACCAAAGCTAGTCTAAGGTGAGAAATTTCTCCATTACACACTTCCTCCCCTTCTTGCTCTAATGCACACTAGGTGACAATTAGGCATTATGCCCTGGGGTAAAATACCAAACAAAAGCACAGACACATGGGAACCATGGCACCAAACTGGAGGCAAAAGACCCATGGGGTGGACCGGGAATGTGGCCCCTCAGCGTTCCACTGCTCTGCACATGCAAGTGCCCACAGACCTGGCAAAGGCTGTTAGAAACAGGATATTTGGGGATTGCAAATACATTTTGATGAGGAGGAAAGTGTGCAGCTACAGAATCCATGAATAATGAGGACTGGCTGAACCTACCCCGAGAAGTCATAATGATGAAGAGTTAATAGAACGGCTGGCATTGTGACACAGCAGGTTAAAACTGCCTCCTGCAATGCTGGATTCTATATCAGAGCGCCAGTTCAAGTCCAGACTGCTCCTCTTCTGATCCAGCTCTCTGCTAATGGCTTGGGAAAGTGGTAGAAGATGGTCCAAATCCTTGGACCCCTGCCACCTACATGGGAGGCCCAGATGGAGTTCTTGGCTCCTGGCTTTGGCCTGGCCCAGCCTCAGCAATTGTGGCCATTTGGAGAGAGAACCCATCTCTGTCTCTGCCTCTCTCTCTAACTCTGCCTTTCAAATAAATAAAATAAATATATATTTTTTAAAAGAATCGTTAATAGAAGCCCTGAGGGTGGTGGCTCAGACATAGCAAGCACACAGTAGATGCAGACTTTATTATCAGCACTGTTACCACAGTCCCCAGGGCACTCTAACGCCCTGTCAGATCCATGAGTCCCTGAGGCACAAAGGGTGTGATCAGTGTCTGGACAAATGGCCCTCCAAGGATCTCTGACCTCAGTAGCTTCAGCTCCCTAGGACTCCATGGTCCTCTAAGGCGCTCAGACCCAAGGCCATGCTCAGATTCTAGAATCCGGGCCTTTACAAAGATGGCTGGTCTGGCAGAATATAGACTCCTGCTCACTCAGAACCTGCAGCAGGCTCTAATCTTGCCAAGGGCATGTTACCATTGACAACCACTCAACATCTTTACCCAGAGACACCCTGACCTCACAGACCTGACCTACAGGACACTCTGGTCACAAAAAGATGTAGTGTGGGGGAATGGCTCCTACTCCGGTGAAATCCCTGGAGCCCCCTCACTCCATTCTTCCTGCCCTGGTCACCCCCCAGGAACCCCTACTGACCCTACCTCAAGGCCGCTTTGCCCCAGGCCTAACCTAGCACCAGCGTCCTGCTTAGTGTCTTCTCCTGCTGCCTCCTGTCTCCTCAGGTCCACCCTAAACCTCCCACTCCAAACCCATCTAAGTCAGTGTATGACCGGTCCTCTTACAGGGAGGCCCTTCCCAAGAGCCATCCCTGACTCCCACATCCCTCAGTGTCCACCCCTGATGCTACCCTCAACCTGTTCCTTCCCCGGGAGCTATTCTGCCCCCTCATTCTTGGCTCCCCGTGATCAGGCCTACCAAGGCATGGGGGGGAGATGAGAGGCCAAGCTCAAGGACCCAATCTGGGCCCTACACCCCAGGCCACACCCTGCTCTCTCTGTTGAGGGCCCTGGAGACCTGTGTCCCTGGCCAGCTCCAGTCACTCAGGTCCAGTCCAATGCAGGCCCCTGCTCAGGAGTGGCACTGAGCGCTGTCTCTGCTCCCCCTTGTGCTGAGCAGGAGATGCAGCTTCTCCACACCATCTGCCTTCTGCAGCACTCTGCTAGCCACACCCTCCCTCCTGGCACAGGCAGATTTCCAGAGTCCAGCACCCTGGCCTGGATCTCAGCTGGGGAGGGTGCTTCTGGGGCCCTTCTCAGCCCAAGGCTGGGGGCTGCTCCCCCTACTCCCCTAGATCCTTTCCAGTCTTCCTGGCTTTCCCACCCCTGCTAGAGCTGTGAGTCAACACAAATACTCCATGTTCACCTGCCCGGGTGACTCCACTCCTGCCTGAGCCCAGCCGGGCCTGAGGCCTCTGTCTAGGCAGGGACAACAGATCAGCTTCTGAGGAAACACAGGCTCGCAGCCCACCCTGTGCAGGCCCCACTGAGGCTCCAGGTCCCCCCGCCATGGGGTGCAGAAGGGGCACACAGCAACCAAACGTGAAAGAGAACGCACCCCATGGCAGAGCTACTCCTCCAAAAGCTTCTGGGCTGTCCTGGTGGGGAGCTGCTGCCCAATCCCTCCCACCCCGTGAGCCTGGCTCACAGGCAGAGGGGGCAGTCATTCTGTGTGTCCACTCTGAGGCCACCGCCCCATCAGCCATCCTGAACCTGTGCAGCACAGGACAACATGGATGGTCACCTGGCACAGAGCAAGGGACCAGAGGACAAGGCAGGGGCCCCCAGGCGGGACGAAAGGAGCTACAGCCACAGGTGTGTCCCAAGCCCCTTCTCCATCCACCCCAATGGCCAGGGCAAATGGCAGAGGCGGAGATGACAGATGAGAGAGGCCCCATCTGACACTCATGGGGACAGGAGTGATGTCCCATGGCATGTCCACCTGCCTCTCTCCTAGGCTTCATCCACCCCAGGTATGGTCAGCAGGACTGGGCCAGCATGCTGCCATGTGACACTGGGCAGGGTCTGGTGTCTGGAGCCTCCTGGCTGCTACTATGAGGAGGACATGGGCTCCAGCAGCTGTGTGTTCTGCTGCCCTGCTGGGAACGCCCTGCCCCAACACACTACCTGTGTCCACTCAGCGAGGTGAGCTTCTCCACCACTGTGCCCTCGGCCCTCCTTCTGTTTGCTCCCCGAGAACAGGATGTGGGGAACTGGGGAGAACTTGCTGCCACTGCAATGCTGGCCACGCCTTGGGGGGTGACAGTGACAGGGCCTGTGTGCATCATGATGGAGCAGGGAACATGCACACATAGGCACAGGCACACACACACACACACACACACACACACATGCTGCAAGGGAACAATGCCCAGGCTCCGAGGTGGAGGAAAGAGTGGGAAAGAGCTGGAACTCACTCAGGATCTGGATCCCACAAGGCTGCTGAGCAACCCCAAATTGCTGAGTTCCACCACCTCTGCAAGAGCCAGAGGTCAGCATGATCGGCTCAGGAGCTGGGGAGGTGGAGCTGCTGGTCGTGACCTTGAGGCTTGGTGTTGCCCTCGAGTGGCACCCCTGGAGCCTGTGCCTGCTCCTGGGCCACTGTTGCTGACCACGTCATCATTCTCAGCCTGTCAGGTACTGAGACATCACAGTCGTTGGTCCCCTAACCCCTTGAGTGCCTCCAGGACAGGGTCCCTGTACGTCCCACAAGCAGTCTCTGCATTGCCAGCTTGTCCCAATCAGCAGGCCCCTTCCTTGATGTCCCCAGCAGCACCAGGAAAGAGCAGAAGAGGACAGGGCTGGGAGACCTCCTGGGGCTGCTGGCAGTGTGGGTGAAGTCTGTGGTGGGGCAGCAGGTTGCACCCATCTGAGTCCCAGTGTCCAGTCACTGCATGCTGGGCACAGAGTGGGAGGCCTCAGAAAACTGGGGGAGGTGTGGGGAGCAACTCAGACTAGACTGTTACTCGAATTAAGACTTATTCCATGCATCTGCTCTCCCACAATATGGCGCTGGGAGAGGAGGAAACAGCTTCTACACAGCTGCCTCCAGTTCAACCAATAAACAGCAGGACCTGCTCCTGATTGGAGGAGAGCAGCATACTCAGCGTGTGGGTAGCAGAGTTGGGATTGGTGGAAGAGGACTATAAAGGAGGAGAGAGACAACATGCACCAGGAACATCTATCTGAAGGAACACCTGAGCAGCCCCCGAGAGAGCCGGCCGGTGGTGTGCCGCTCCCCCGCGGAAGTGGGGAAAGTGGCAGGGGGAACCGCCCTTCCACAGAGGTGGAAGGGTCGGTAGCCAACCCGGGAAGAACCAGCAGCAAACCCGGGGAGGGCCGAGCAGACAAAAGAACAGCGCAGGGTCTAGGGTCGTTCCTCCGTGAAGAGGGGGAGCGACAGGGAGGCACCTGGGGTCTCACTGGATAACTAATTCAGTAGGACAGGCTTAAGAAGCCATCACAAAATAGAACTGCAGGGGAGGAGAAGAGGAAGGGCAGGAGGCAGAGGGCACCACGGACATAGGACCTTGGTCCACAGCTGACAGACAGCGCTGGTACCCTTGGGCCCACAGCACTCCTGCCACAGCCCCACCTGCCCTCCTCAAATGGGCTCTGGAGAGACCATGGCAGCCACCCCTAGGGGCTGGGACCCAGACTCTAGGCCCTGCTGACTGGGGAGGGTGCCATTATGACCAGCTGGGAGAATTCCATGATGTCACCATCACTGTGCACCCACTCATGTTCTGGAGCAGGTGCAGGACACTGGCATTCCTCGTGACCGACTGGAGTTGCTTTTTGAGGAAAGAGGTGCATTTGGCAGAGGTGGTTGGGTTTGGGGCAGAGGTGAGAGTGGGTGTTGCTATCCTCCTGGTCAGCTCACATGAGGATTGTCACTCGCAGCTGGGTGACCCTGGCCTCTCAGAGCTGTTGCTGATGTTATTGCCAGCTTAGCTCTAAGAGGTGCCTGTTGTGTGCTGTGTACACAGTCATCTCCATCCTTCCCCATAGTGAGCCCGTGGGGTAGTAAGAACGCTCCCTTGGTGGGAGGCTGTCCAGGAGATGGTTCTCGGGTCCAAGTTCTGGTCCAAGTTGAGGTTGGGGCCAGGCCAGCTACGGCCACACTGGAGATGCAGGACCCAGTGCTGAGGAGGGAGGTGTGGAGCCCCTGTCCCCTGGCAGTCAGGGACTCTATAGGATTGTCCTGTGCCCAGCTGGGGAGGAGGGTCCTTCCTGTGGCCAATAGGGAAGCACAGTGATGCCCTGTCCCCGTGTTCTGGACGAGCTGCTCTCCTGGGAGCCTGGCGTGGGTGCTGCCCCCTTGGCTGGAGGGGCTGTCCTTTCTGATCAGATGGGTGGAAGGTCTGAGTGCCCAACCAGTGGAGCCATGCATGGAAAGACCCCCAAAGGAGCAGGAGTACCAAGATCAACATTGTGGCATAGCAAGTAAAGCTGCCTGTGATGCCAGCATCCCGTATGGGCATCAGCTCATCTCCCAGCTGCTCCATTTCTGATCCAGCTCCCCACTAATGTACCTGGGAAAGCAGAGAAGGATGGCCCAAGTCCTTGGGACCCTGTATCCATGTGGGAGACCCAGAAGAAGCTCCTGGTTTCTGGCTTTGGCCTGGCCCAGTGCTGGCCATTGCAGCATCTGGGGAGTGAACCAGAGACTGGAAGATCTCTCTGTCTCTCTCTAACTCTTTCAAATAAAAAAAAATTTTTTTGACAGGCAGATTTAAACAGTGTGAGAGAGAGAGACAGAGAGAAAGGGCTTCCTATCCATTGGTTCACCCCCTAAATGGCCACTACAGCCGGCGCTCTGCAACCGGCACACTGCGCCGATCCGAAGCCAGGAGCTTCCTGGTCTCCCATGTGGGTGCAGGGCCTAAGCACTCGGGCCATCCTCCACTGCCTTCCCGGGCCACAGCAGAGAGCTGGAGTGGAAGAGGAGCAACCGGGACAGAATCCGGTGCCCCGACCGGGACTAGAACCTGGGGTGCTGGTGCCACAGGTGGAGGATTAGCTAAGTGAGCGGGCATTGCCGGCCACAAATAAATTTTTTTTTTAAATTAACAAAACTAAGGAATAAGGGTCACAAGAGTGAAGGAGGAGGACAGCGGCTCCCAGGGGCATCCCAGTCTCTGAGGGGACCTCTCCTGCAGATCCCAGCCCCAGGTAGATGCTGGGGGCAGGGCAGCAGGTGCACACTGTATGGGTCCAAGGACAGGGACAAGTCAGGTTTGCACTGGACCATCCTCAGAGAGCTGGAGCTGGAAGTGAACCACAATATCCTGTCCTGTTCTCCATGAGCAGCCCCTAGGTCTCGTCCTGGGTCCCCTACTCAGAGAAGCTCCCAGAGCATAGAAACCTGTGGCTGCAGACCTGCCCTGTGAGGCAGACAGGGGTGTCCTTGTGAGCGAGTGCCAGGCACAGATGACATCACTGGGCTTTGCTGTCAGCCGGGAACCTGGGGGCGGTGCCCTGGGTGCTCCCACATGGGTCAGGGTTGGTTGTTTGTCTTGCAGTCTGGACATGGAGGCCGTGAAGTCCCAGTTACCCCAGAAGCAAGACGTGATCATCAGCAAGTATGAGCAGGTACAGGCCAGGCTGCAGCCTGGAGGAGGTGTCCGCCTTGCATGCTAGGGCCCGTGGTCACGGTCCCAGGCCCTGTGGGGACACAGAGGCAGGAGGGGTCATGCTGCTCTGCCCCCTGCCTCAGGCCCCAGGCCTCTCACCCAGGCCCCCTCTGGGTTTCAGGGATGCCAAGGACGGGCACAGGTGGCAAGACCGGAAGAAGAAGACATCAACACCCGCCCTTTCATAAACTACCTGGGGATACTGCAGTGAGTGCAGGGTGGGGGCAGTTTTTGGAAACTCTCTTGAGTCAGGACACTCTTGTCCCAGGCCCCCACGCCATCCAGGCCCTGGTGGGTGTTGGGTCACAGCACAGTGGCCCTGTGAGCCCCTTGCAAGAGTGCCCCAGAGACAGAGGTGCATGTGGGACATGTGCTGGGAGCTCACACAGGGGCCTCTGCCTCTGCCAGAGGGCAGGGAGGCCTGAGGTCCCACCTGTCCCTGACCAAGCCTGCCCAGTCATCAACCGTCTGAAGGTCAGGGCCATGATCAAGGGGTGCCTGGCTGTCTTGGGAGCAGCGGTGCAACTTGTCACTGGGAGTGCAGGGGCTCAGGCCAGAGATATCCTTGGGAGGGGGCCTTAGGAGCTGGCAAGGGTGGCCCCGGGTGCTGGGGATGTGGGTGGAGACTCACTGAGAAGGGAGCAGGGCCCTGAGGGTTTGCAGCAGGGGGAAGCTGCCCCCAGACCTCGTGCTAGGAGAATTGAGGACTGGGGTGGAGGCAGCAGGCCCTGGATCTGATCCACAGTCGTTCCAGGACAAGGTAGGGGAACTGGACGGATGAGCTAAGGGGACCAATGAGACAGTGACCCGGGGTGTTCTAGATGGTCAGCAGTGGCCTGGGGAGAAATGGGCACAGTGTGTGGGCGGGGCCGAGCAGGGGTCAGGCTGAGCTCCCCCCAGGACCCAAAAGAGCTGAGAGACGGTCTCCATCTCTGTGCCAGATGGGAGAAGGGGGGAGGTGGGACAGGATGGGTCAGCGGCTGGGCAGCAGGAGGGGTGGTTGCTCCAGAGTGGACACTGAGGGCTGTGGGCACCAGAGGGCTAGACTCAGGGTTTCACCCTCAGCCTGAGCAGGACTCAGGCCAGGCCCTGGCTCTGCTTGGTGTCTGGTTGTTCGTTCCATGCTGCAGGGAACCAACCTGCCCAGCCAGGGCAGCCCTCCCTCCTGAGAGCGACCTTTCCCAGTGCCTGCAGGGGGAGCTGCTCCCTGTCTCCGAGCGGATGCTTCAGAGACCCCCAAGCCCTCCAGTGACACCGAGAGCCATGCTATGACTGCCCTCACTGAGATCCCAGGCCCCCACCCTCCGTGGGTGTCCCCCAGCAGGAAGGCTGCCACTGCCCTTCCCTTTGCTGGGTCCTGGGCTCAGTCTTGGGGCTGAATGGGGCTGGCTCAGCCCTTTCCCCACCCCATGCAGGAGGTGGACGGTACCCGGCCTGGCTCGGGTGCTCACAGCTCGGCCTCTCTTGCCTTCCAGGGAGAAGATGCTGCCCCAGGACAGAGCCCTAGAGGCCAAGGTGACAGACCCACCTCCCTGAGCAGATCATGTGGGAGGCAGACCTGCGTGGCCTGGGGGCTCAGGCAGTGGTCGGTAGGACCTACAAGGCCACGCCAGGGGCAGCAGTTCCTGGAGGACCTGAGGGGTTGTTCTACCAAACCCACCAGCCTGGGTCAGACCTGCAGCTCAGAGGTCCAGGTGCACTGACCACCAGAATCCCCTTGTGGCTGAGACCCACCTGAGGCTGCTGGTGCTCACCTGTCAGCAGGTCTGGGCTCAGGCTCTGGGCTGTTTCTGGCTCCTTCCAGTTCCCTCAGCTCAGGGCTCCCGAGCTACGCGCAGGGCCCCCTAGGGAGGCCAGCAGCTGGGCTCAATCCACCCTCACCACATTTCCAGCACAGACATCAGGAGGCTCAACGAGTGGAAAAGTGGGTGAAGATGATGAAGCACTGGACTCAGTATCAGAGCAGCAAGAAGGTGCGGGGAAGGGGGCACCTGGGACCACGTTCTGCAGAGTTAGCCTGTGTGGCCCCTACCTCTGTGTCTGGGCCCTGCCGGCCTCTGGGGCCACAAGGTCACTTCCTTGTCTTGATCCCCAAGACACAGGCTTCCCCCAGCTTCCTGTCCATCCATACAGGGCCCCCTCCTGAGAGAGAAGCGATGTCAGGGCTTAGATCACCCCAGGCCCAGGGTGGGGACGCTCCTGGCCCCCTAGCGAGGATCCACTGAAACCCCAACCCCCAGCCCTTAGCCCCGGTCCCTTGTGTCCCTGGGGGGTGGTAAGGCCCAGGGGGAGGAGATCCAGCCTCTCCCAGGACAGGACACGGCCCAGGCTTCCATGGTCCTGACGCCCCTGCTCCCCGCCCTGCCTGGGGCTGGCGCTGTGGCCTGGCTCACCAGAGCCTCTGCTTTGCCATAGATGGAGAGCCAGGTCTACAAGGGCATCCCCCTCCCAATGCGGGGGAAGGTGTGGTCTTTCCTGCTGGACGTGGACAAAGTGAAGGCGGAGAATCCTGGCAAATACCAGGTACAGCCCTTCTGTCCTCAGCCGGGGTGGCCCTCACAGGCCAGGCCTTGTCAGGGGCCCTGGTGTCTGGCATGTGGGACAGTGGAGCCATGGGGGTGCCAGGTCCACCCTCGGGGCCTCTGGGGTCCTGACCCATCCTGCCTTCCTCTCCCCAGACCCTCCCTCGGGGCTTCCTCAGCATCTCCCAGACTCAGCCAGGCCCCGGGCACCAGCCCCACCCCTCTCCCTGCTGTGCTGTTCTGTGCAGCTTGGCCAGAGGCTGGCCCTGGGTGATGCTGGGTCCCAGCACAGAGGCCTCCTGTCTTCCTGTGATGGTTTCATGCAGGAGACGCCTCCCTGGACTGCCCTCCCCTGGCTGCTCTCATCCACTGCTCTCACCTGGCCCTTTAACTTACCCCAGGCCCGCCTGGACACACCCACACCTGGCATCCCCAAGTCTCCAGATGTGCAGGGTTGTCCCCGGGAGCAGGTCCTGAGAGGAGCATTCCAAGGGGGAAAATTTTCAGCCCCAGGATCCCTCCAATGTGCTAAGTGCGGCCAGCCCTTCCTGCAGGGTTGGTGTGACTGCCTCCCATCAGGGCAGAGCCTCCGGCCCAGTGAGAAGGAGCAAGAGTCTGGCAGAGAGCAGCCTGGTCTGAGTCTTTCCTGAGGGGGACAGGAGGTCCCTTAGTGGGTGGTCCTTGCTAGTCTCCTGCCCCAGGCTGCCGGACATGGGAGTTACCTGGGCTGCCTGGCCAAGCAGGCAGCAGTGCCCCGCCCCCCTCCATGGGGAACAGCAGGACAATGAGCTTCCTGCAGGACGCCCCCTTCAGGCAGCATAGCTGCAGGACATTGTGATGGCTGCTGGGGCAGTGGGCGTGTGTGTGTGTCCTGAGGCTGACCCCTGTCCCTGGGGCCTGCCCTACAGCAAATGAAGGGGCAGGGCAAACTCTTGTCAGAGCACATCCACCAGATCGATGCAGACGTCCGGAGAACGTTCCGGAACCACGTCATGTTCCGGCAGCGCTATGGAATGAAGTGAGGCTCTGGGCCCAGGGAGTCCCAGGGGATAGGAGGTCCTGCAGGGGAGGCGAGGGCCCTGGGGGAGACAGGGGAGTCCCTTGGGAGACCAGGGTCCTGAGCACAGAATGATACCCAGTGTTTGCCGTGCCTATAGCTGAGCACCTGTGAGCAGGTGCTGAGTCAGCGTTTGTCACAACTCATGACAAGGCCTCTCAGTCCCTGCCCCTCCTCCAAGCAGAGAGTTCTGGACACAGCGTAGCTGGTGAGGGAAGCAAGTGCTTTCTCCCAGCAGGGACATTTTGGGAGAAGGAGCTGCTCTGTAAGTTTCTGGCCTGGGGCTTGAGAGAATTCATGCTGGTTCACTACCCTGGACTTGAACTTCCCAGTGCTCTAATGAAAGAAAAGCCATGGGACTGACACTGCAGGTGCATCCATGTGTACCCCTGAGGCGTGCACATGTCATGGAGAACAGATTTCCTCCCAAATTCAGAAACGTGCAGCTGAGCTGAGCCCTCACTGCACTGTGACAGAGAATGTATCGGGGCCTCCGTGCTGAGTTCAGGGTCGGTCCCCAAAGCAGAGCTAAAGCCTCAGCAGGGCGCAGCAACGCCCCCTCCCTCTCCTTCCCAGGCAGCAGGCGCTGTTCCACGTCCTGCTGGCACACTCTGAGTTTGATGTCGTGAGTATGCCAGGGTGATGGGGCCAGGCCTAACCCCAGGCTGTCCCCCCGTGGGATCCCATGTCATAGAGATGCAAGCTGGGGTTGACAGGGGCCGTGCAATGTAACTGAGCTGGAACTGGCTGGGGTCTAAGGCCCAGGGTCTCCCCAGCTCTGAGAGGAAGTGATGCCTCCCTGCGAGATCCGCCCTCCCCGGTGAGGTCCGTGTGCCAGGTGGTGTCTTCCACAGTGTCTTTGGCTCTTTCAGGAGGTGGGGTATAGGCAGGGCATGAACTGGGTGGCTGCTGTGCTGCTGATGTTCTTAGATGAGGAAGACGCATTCTGGGCCCTGACACAGCTGATGAGGAAGCCGAGGCACGCCATGCACGGTAGGTGGCCGGGTACAGCGGGGACTCACCTGCTTTCCAACCCAATCTGGCTTCACGGTGTCCAGGACAATCTCTCTCCGGAGGGTCCCATAGGAGCCAGCCCTGAAGGGGTTCTCTCTGCAATGATGGCCTTCCATCAGCCAAAGGCCCTGCAGCCTTGCTGTCACTCCCCTCTGTGTCCTATGCCCACAGCCCTCAGATCCTTGCTGGTCCCAGGGACTCCTCCCTCTCTCCTGCCCATCCGAGCTCTGAGTCTGAAGCCAGAGGACACCAGGTGGGAGCTTCTGTCCTCCTGGTTCACCCGCCCTGACTCCTGGCCCCAAGGGACGGCCGTGTTCCACCCAATTCCCATTGGTATCACCCAGCATCCATCTGCAACCTGGCCCTGTATGGTTCCACCAGCTGTCTGCACTCACTTTCTCCTCCTGCTCCTCTGCCCTAGCTCAGTCAGCTCAGGCTGACCCTGTCACAGTGTCCTCTGCCCCTGTGTGCTCAGGACCCCCAAGGCCATGTGCTCAATGGCCTCACCTCCTTGTCACCTGGCTCTGATTGTTGGGGGTGGGGGGTGGGCGGGCTGCGTGTTCCTAGGATTTTACAAGGCCAATTGTGCCAAGCTGGTGCGGCTGCAGCAACACCACGAGAACATCCTGAAATGTCGTCTTCCCAAATTAAAGAAGCACCTGGTGAGTGGGGCCCCCGTCCTGAGGGCCCTGGGTCGCACAGGAGCGTGGATGGGGCCCAGGCCTGTCTAAAGGGGCTGAGACGCTAGGCCTGGCCAGCTCCTTCCTCAGGGTGGGAGCTCTGCAGAAGGCTCAAGTTTTCTTTCCTTTCCCTTCCCTGGTGAGGCCACGGGCACTGGGACCCAGTCACCGGCCTGGTGCAGGTATAAGGGTAGGGTCCAGGTGAAGGTGACACACCAGGCCTGCTGCTATCTTTTCCCAGGGAACTGCACAGAGGGTCCAGGGAGATTTGCAGGCCTCAGGCCCTGAGCCCCTCTACCTCTTCCCTCAGGAGGACCAGGGAGTGTCCACTGCAGCATATACCCGGAAGTGGTTCCAACAGTGCTTCGTGGATGGGGTAAGGGTGCAGAGGAGACCCTGTGTCCTGGGAAGCTCCTGGCCACAGGGCCAGCTCTGCTGTTCTGGTGGTCTCATCCTGCCAGAAGGGTTGTGCTCACCGCATGCAGGCAGCCCCGGCCAGGACCCATCCCGGGAGAGCCAAGGAGGATGGGGCGTGCCCACGAGGACCCTGGGCTCCACACCAGCCTCAAGCTGTGCTGCAGCTGCTTCATTCCCAGGGCAGAAGCCTGCACTTTGCAGCTGGTAGGGGGTAGGGGGTGTGTCTCCCTCCCCCTGGCTGGTCCCAAAGCACAGCCCACCCTCTGTGGCCCCCAGGGCAGTGCTTATGCCAGCCAGGAATTGTCACTCTTTCTTTTGGTATGCTTTGGACCCTTGAGTGGCCGGAGGATCCTCAGAAAAATACTCAGTCCTTACTGAGAGGGATCCACCCCCATGCTGAGCTGCAGGGCTTTGGCAAATGCAGCCTCACAGGGGCCTCCCCATGTGCTAGGGCCCTGCCTGCTGCAGGCACCACACGCTGACCTCTAGAGGGCGCTGCTCATCCTGGATGGCCCAGGTCCTTCATGCAGCTGTCCCCACAGGTCCCCTTCTCGCTGATGCTGCGATTTTTTGACGTCTACATTCTGGAGGGAGAACCCATGCTGACGGCGATGTCCTATACGGCCCTGAAGATCCACCGGAGTAAGTCCTGCAGGGCTCCTCTGGGAGCAGTGATGGGGCCCCACTTTTCTACCCCAGAGAGCAAGGGCATGGTGGCAGGAGAGGGCAGGCTGGGCCCAGAGTGGGAGGCTGCTCAGGGCACTTGATCCCTCCTGGGAACCCCCTCTCCCACTGCTACCCATCTTGGGCAGGAGTGGGTGGGCACTTTCCTGGTCCAGCCTCCCATGGGACATGACCTCCTGTGTAGGGCTGACCCTGCGGCGTGATCCTGGCACACCTAACATGCTCCCAGCAGGAGGGGCAGGGGTTAGGCAAGACTCCGGGTGCTTCTCTTCCTGGTGGGGCCCCTCCTGGCCTGAGGCCTGTCCTTGTGCCTAGAACAAGCCTTGCAGCTCTCTGGGGACAACCTGCTTGAGTACCTGCAGGAGGGGCTGCGCCAGGCCTGGGCCCTGCGTGACAACTCGGTGCTGAGGCGGCTCAAGGCCTCCAAGACAGAACTAGAGAGGTGCAAGGGTCTGCTGCCTCCACCAGGTTTGCTCCAGCGCACGGCCCCCTCCCCTTTCTCCCTCTTAGGGGATCCCTGGGGGTTGCCCAGGCACGAGCAGCCCTGCCAGGGGCCTTCCTCCTCCTCCTCTTCAGCTCTAAGCAGCTTTGGACAATATGGCCTCGATGGCCTCAGTGTAGCTGCTGCACTTCTAGCTTCCAGAACATCCCCTTGGGGCAGCTTCCTCATCACTGCCCCCCCCCCCACACTCCATCATGAGTGCTGGGCTGTATGTGTGTTCTGAAGACCCTGGCTCTCCTGAGCCCTGGGGTGAAGACAATACCCTCCATTGAGTGTCACAGCCCAGGGCAGGTATAGCCCAGGGTCTGTGGTAGCAGGAGCCATGTGCACTCTTTGAGCCACTGTGGGCTGACCTGGGACAGGGCCCAAGCAGCTGTCGGCCACACTCTCCCCTCAGACGGGACAATCAGAGGACAGCACGGGTGCAACAGCCTGCACATGGGCAGTGCCAGCCACTGTCTGGGAGCTCAGGCCACACAGGCAGGGTGGGAGGGTATGTTGGGAGACACCACTGAGCCCTTGGCCACACCTTCCCCACCTCCATCAGAGGCCACCTGGAAGTCGCGGGAGTCCTCAGCCCATCCATGGGCCTGGAGGGAAGAGGCAGAGCTCCAGGCTCCGATTAGAACCCAGAATCCAGCTGAGTGCAGGGAAGGTTCAGTGCTAGCCAAAGAGGGCCGCCCTGGGGGCAGAGCGGTTAGTGACAAGTGAGTTAGGTGACAGATGTGTACGGTGAAAGGTAAGGCCACTGTAATTCTGAGTTGGGGACAGATGGCTCTCTTGCCCTGAGATGAGAGAGAAAGCAAGAAGCCTAGAGCTGGCCCATCCCACTAGGGCCATCCCGGACAGCTCCCATGGCCAGGCTGCACACACTCTCCCCTCCGGGTTCAGCAGCCTGGTGCTGGTGCTGGTGGTGGGATGGGGGGGTTGTCCTCATTATCAGCCCAGGTGGCCAGGCAGGAACTTGAGGGCCCCAGGGTTCCAGGTCTGGGTGGCCCAGCCTGTGAGTGCCAGGGCTGTGGGGAGAAGCTGAGCACGTCTTCTTTCCTTTCAGCAAAACAAGAGGAGATGCCCAGAAGGCTGCTGGGCCTGGAGCTCATGTCCCTAGTGCCCAGGCCTCACCCCACATCTCAGAGGCTCAGGGTGGGCTGTCGCAAGGACAGGGTGGGCCGCCCTGTTGCAGCTGACTGGCAGGAGCTGCCCTCGGGGTTAGCACCTCGCACACAGGGGGCAGGACATCCAGAAAGCAACCCTGGCTTCTTTCTGGGGGCCTCAGACTTGGGAGACACAGGAGACCTCTCCCAAGGGCCTTGCCTCTTCACCACCATGTCGCTGTTGTATACTGGAGAGTGTGGGCTCCCAGGGGGTAAGCCCCTACAGGGACTCCTGGGCTCCCCCAAACCTGCTCAGCCCAGCCTGAGGTGCAGCAGAGACAGCCGGTCCCGGGGACACCCTGCAGCTCAGCACCTTCCAAAGCTGGATCCCACAGTGCTCACCCCTCTGGAGCCCACCATGGAGGACGAGGAGTGCAGTGTTGAGGGGGCTTCCCCCTGACTGCCTCGGGGACCTCACAGTGTATAGCTCCAGCCTGCCTTGTCCTGACCTGGAACCGTGCAAGGCCTGGCAGGACCCTTTCCTCTCATAATGAGGCCCTCAGAAACCTACAGACTACTGGCTCCCAAAAGGCAAAATCTTCAGACACCCTGCTTTGCTTCCAGGTCTTCCTTGGTCCCCATGGGACCGGATACCCCCAGCCCACTGCACACCCCATGTCCAGACTGCAGACTTGCACCAGGGTCTGTAGCCCCTCAGTCCACACCCCTAAGGGACAGTGACTTGCAGAGGCCTGCAGGAGCCAGGACAGGGCCAGGTCATTGCCCCAGGTCCCCACAAACCCAGCTGGCTTCCTGGCCTCCTCCTGCACAGGGCAGCTGGCTGTGTGGGGCAGGGAGGGAGGGAGAGCCCACATGGCCCTGTGTTGGTGGGGTTGGTGGATGTGTTGGTGTGCCCAACCCCTGCACACTGCCTCCCTGTGGTCCAGTGCTACCACCCCCACCCCAGGGGTACAGGTGCCTCTGCCCAAGTCACTTGAGGACCGAGATCACCAAGGGCACAGATGTCTCTGCCCAAGTCATGTGAGGACCGAGAACACCAAAGCTTTTCTGTATTTTTCATATAAAGTTGCTGGCACCCTGTGAACTGATTTGCCTTTTTTTTCCCTGAGCTGAGAATGAATTTCAGAGAAACAGAGATAGGTGTTGGGCTTTATCTCAGTGACTAGAGGACAAAGACAGTGACAGCTCCCATTGGGAGTTGTGCCCATGGCCATCCCCATGGGTGCAGGTGGGGACAACGGGAAGCAGCTTTCTGGGGCCCTTTGGGTAACGTGCACACCAACCAGCCAACTACAGCTGGGCAGTGTGGCCTACGAGGAGTGGTCAGGAACCAGGGAGGCCACGGGACACAAGGGAAATGGTGCTCACAGAGGCCAGGAGGGCAGTGAGCTGGAGCCACTTAGATGAGGGATCCTTCAGTAACATCAGTTGATCACACGCAGTGAGATGACTTTTTTTTAGAAAGATTTATTTTGGAAGTTAGAGTTACAGAGCGAAAGGGAGATATACACACAGAGAGAGTTTTTTCCATCTCCTGGTTCACCTCCCGGATAGCTGCAATGGCCTGCACTGGGCCATGCTGAAGCCAGGAGCCAGGAGCTTCAATCTGGGTCTTCCATGTGGGTAGCAGGGACCCAAACACTCAGACCATCCTCTGCTGCATGTCCCAGGCCATTAGCACGGAGCTGGATTGAAAGTGAAGCAGCTGGGACATTAACCAGTGTCCATGTGGGCTGCTGCTGTCGCAGGCAGCCCCTTTACTTGCTATGCCACAGTGTCGACCCTGTTAGATGAGTTTTATAGCCACGTTCCTGTGCGCTGAATCTCCAGGTCTGTGGCAACATCAGATATGGGCACCCATATGGGATTCTGGCACCACAGGCGGAACTGAACCTACTATGCCAAAGCACCAGCTCCTAACATAAATTTTTTAAAAATATTTACTTATTTATTTGAAAGTCAGAGTTACAGAGAGGCAGAGGCAGAGAGAGGCAGAGAGAGAGAGAAAGAGAGAGAGAGAGAGAGAGAGAGTCCTCCATCCACTGGTTCATCCTCAAATGGCTGCAATGGTCAGAGCTGAAGCCAGGAGCCAGGGGCTTCTTCCAGGTCTCCCACACAGGTGTAGGAGCTCAGGGACTTGGACCATCTTCTACTGCTTTCCCAGGCCACAGCAGAGAGCTAGATCAGAAGTGGAGCAGCTGGGACTAGAACTAGTGCCCTTATGGGATGCCGGCACTGCAGGCAGCAGCTTTACCTGCTATGCCACAGTGCTGGCCCCCTAAAATAAATCTTAAAAAAAAAATTGATATTGGCCACCTGGGGCACAGGCCCTGAGGATTAACACAGCCTTGCTACCCAGAGTGCATGACACACATCACCAGGAGCTTGTGACACAGACAACACTGGGTCCTCACTCGGCAGCACAGGCAGTGTGAGGGCAGGCAAGAGCCCGCTTGAGAGGTCCATTGCATCAGTAGCAGCCCACACCATGGGTCAGAGAGGGCAAGGACAGAGGGGCCTGGCGTGTGGAGCTGCAGTCACACAGCTGGATAGTACAGGACCTAGAACGAAGCCACTGTGGATCTGGGGAAACTGCTAGGATCCTGGACCCAGCCCTACCTGAAGCTGTTCCCTCCCTCTTTCATGGATATGCACCACAAAAAGTTGTAGTGTGTAGCATGTGCAAGCCAGTTTCCCCTGTAAAATGTTATCATCTGAGAGTGCCATTTCATCCACAAATACTGCGACATCCCATTTGCCAAGGGCAGCACCACATGGTACTCCTGTGAGCCACATTAGAGCACGCTTCCTATGTCTTCCCCTCCCTGGCAGCCCCCCGCCCGTGCCAGAGGCCTGTAGAGGGGAAGGGCCCGGCCCGTGTGAGGGTGCTACACAACCATAAGGCTTTGGGTTCAGAGCCCCATGTCACCTGCAAGGGTCACCCCTTGGTGCCTGGGTCCCCAGAATGCACCTGGGGCTTTGAGCCAGAGGACGAGAGGGGAAGGAAGACAGTTTGGAGTCCCTATTGTTCAAACAGAAACCAGAGGTTTCCCTGTCTGTGGGATGCACCCAAAGATGACCTGAAGGGCTCTGGACTGGAAGAGAAGCCAGTGTCTGGGCTTGGTCCCCCAGGGCTGGCCTGCCCCAGGGAGAGTCAGAGAGACAGAGAGAGAAAGAGAGAGAAACTAGAACGAACCAGAGTCACAGACAAAGACAGAGACAGAATCTTGGATAGACTCAGGGTCTGGACCCCCATGTGCTGGCCCGCCCCAGGTATAGAGAGCTGGAAATGGAGACACAGCATCAGAGGCACAGGGGGACAGCTGGAAAGGATTCCTGTTTCCCAGAAGTGCAGCACCCACTGGCAGCACTGGCAGACAGCGTAGGGCAAGAGGGAGAAAAGCCCCAGTGGCAAGAAAAGCTCCCAGAAGAATCTCAGGGACCCAGCTCTTCCCCCTCACACACCCACCCTCACCTAGGAGCCCCGATTCTGTCCCACCCCCATGCTGCCCTCACGTCCTGGCAACAGGAACTGGTCTTCTCCAGCAGTTTCTCGGGATTATGTACATTTTAAGAAATTGCATTTGTCCCCTTTCTCCTTTTGAACACAGAAGTTTCTGCAGTTGCCGAAATGCCTGGGGGGACTGGCAACATTTTGGGTGAGCCCTGTCTCCTGCCCCAGGATCACACCTCTCCGAAGGCATCCCTGGCACCCTGCGCTCCTGCAGGGGCACACATCTCAGAGGACCCGTGGCTAGGACAAAGCGAGCTGGAGCTAACGGTATTCACATCTGGGAAAAGGCTCAGACTGCAAGGGCTAGCCCTCAGGCCTACATTCACCTTCCCGAAGCATGTTTTGTGGGTGGACACACACCTGTCCAGGTGCACAGGTGATTTTTTTTTTGCAGGTGGGTCTGGGCTGCTGTACTTTGAGTTTGCTTGGGGCTGGCCAACTGCTCTCCTCCAAAGCCCATGTGGAGCCTGAACCACCTGCTCTCTAGGTCTCAGCTGCATCACAGACCCCACAAGCATGCTTTCCAGAAGCCTTCCTGGGGTGAGGGCCCTGAAACACCAACAGCACAGCTCTGAGGCTCAAGCTCCTTAGATACCCCACCTGTGTGACCTGGACTGGCCACACAGCCCAGAAGTGGAGGCTGGAGTCTCCCACTGTCAGGAGAGGACCTGTCCTGGCCTCCATGGCTCTTCGCCAGAGCCCTGCCTCTGGAGGTAGTCTCGCCTCCTTTCAATCTGAGCGGCACCAGATGGACGCTGGGGGTCTGAAGCTTTCTTATCCCTTTCAGCCGCCATGGGTGCAGAGCCCAGATCAAGGCCCCAGAAGGTACCCTGAGCTGGACCTCTTGAATCCTGCTGATCCGCAGCCTCCCAAGGGCCCAAGGCACCCAACAGAGCATGGAGTTTGGGCCAAGCTGACCCAAGCACAGAGGCCAGGGAGAGAACAGCCCTTGGCTGCTGCCTCCCGGGCTCCTTGCTGATCATTGTTACTGTTATTGTTACCATAACCTCACATCAAACAATTGCAACAGCACTGCAGATCCAGGATCCAGGGTCACACCCTGGGCGTCCTACCCAAATAGAGCGGAGCAGCTCCTCTGCTGGGCGCGCCCGAGTCTCTGTCCCCGACGCACTCCTGGACCAGGGCAAGCTGGGTGCCTGCCCAACACCTAGCATTGTCCAGCCCTGCTGCCTCTGCAACCCAGCCCATGGCTCTGCCCCGAGGAAGCCCGTAGCAGCGGCTTCGCTGGGATTTCCCACTCCCACTGAAACAGGTTTGCTCCAGTTTATAACGTGAAAACAGCTGTGTTCATAGCATCCCCCTGCCGGGTCCACCGAGAGCATCTTGCAGGGAACTGCTTGTGGGCTGATTGCCTGTTCCAGGAATGCCTATGGGGATCCTTTGGGAACTTTGGTATGGGGGGGACTGAGCCCCACCCTTTGCCAATCACACCCTCCTGACCAGGGCTGCACTGGAGGTAGTGCTGGGGCAGATGTCTGGAATTTAGCTCTCTTGAGATTACAAAGGCTATCAGGGTGGGGCTGGGTGCTGAAGGAGCAGGTGTAGAAGTTCTGCTGGCCCTTCTAACAGGACAGTTAGCATTGGTCAGCCCTGGGTCAGACCCCCCTCCCACTCTTCCCACACTGACCCTTCCCTGAGCTGATATGAGCTGGAAACAGCGGAGGAAGCCCTGCTGCTGGGAGCCTTGTCAAGTGGTCCTGGTGTCCTGAGGGCACAGGCAGCCCTGGGGCAAGGCTGGAAGAGATGGCAGTACCAGGGCTGCTGGTAGCCTGACACCCAGGAGTTGGGACGGGTCAGGTCCCTCACCAGACTGCCCATGAGTAGGGCCTTGTGGTAGTGGGGACACCCAGTGGCCCTCCTAGCCAGGAACACATGCTTGGCCTGGAGCTTTTTCTGACCTTTCACCTTCCAAAGCTCACGAACACAGCTGAGGCGCCCTGGTCCCTTGTATCCCATGCTCTGTTTACGTTATGCAACATCTCTGCCTGCCCCTCCCGAGCCTAGGACACCATATTTCTCCTACTCAGTCTGCCTCTTGCTGATCCCTTATAGGACTGGGGCAACTCACCTCTTGGGGCCCCATCTGGGGTTGTCAGCTGAGCAGTGTCACAGGGACCAGCCTGGGCCCAGTGTGGGTGACTCAGCACCAGCTGCAGGGTAGGGAGAAGCCACTTTATTACAGGGAACGGCTCCTGACTGCACTCAGGGCACGAGGATTGATGGCACGTCACAAACTCCTGGGATACCGGCAACTGTCATGTACCTGCTCTGTCACAACATCACCTAGATGCACCTGAAAGTTCATCTTCCCTGATGCTCAGCCAACACCACATGGGAGGTAGTGGTCATTTTCCTGCAACCCAGAAGTAAGCAGGGTTCTGTTTCCCTGACAACCCAAAGCAGGTGCATGCCTGGGGTACAGGTGTCACCCTGCCAGGGCTCCACCTGTTCACCAGTGCCAAAGCTCATCAAAGCTCTTGGTTCAAGAGTTTTTACAGAGTTTAATTTCTGGGGTGAAAATGCATCTGTATTGTACATACTTATATTCT